AAAGCCATGGGTGATGCAGAGGAGATGATGGCTGCAGGTCTCGGATAGGAGAAATAATAAGAGGGGAAGGGAGATGAGACACACTAGAGTCAGACATTGTGGCACGTGATAAATCCGAATAGGGAAAAATATGTTCTAGGAATCTGACATTCCAACTAATATAGATTCTGCCTGAGATAGGATCATAGCAACGGTACCCTTTATATTCAGACGCATATCCCAGAAAAACACATTGTACAGAACGTGGGAAGAGTTTATTAGCCGATGAGGCGTTAAAGTTAGGAAAACAAGCACACCCGAAAACTCTCATCATAGACAAATCTGGTTTGGAGTGAAATAATTTTTCATAGGGAGAGAGACCATGTAGAGTAGGAGAGGGTAATCTATTTATAATAAAAGTGGCAGTAAGCACAGCATCAACCCAAAATGTAGCTGGTAAATTAGCAGTAATAAGCATAGTGCGTGCTAGTTCAAGTAGATACCGGTGCTTACGCTCAGCGACACCATTTTGTTGTGGAGTTTCAGGACAAGATTTTTGAAAAATTATGCCATGATTAGTAAAAATATGCCTCATATCAAAGTTATCAAATTCACCCCCTCCATCACTCTGAAAAATCTTAATTTTGCGGTCAAGAAGATTTTCGATCATTAATTTAAAATGATGAAAATGAGTGATAACCTCATACTTGCGCCGCATGGGATAAACCCAAGTAAAACGAGAAAAATCATCCACAAAACACACATAATATTTAAAACCCTGATGAGAGAGAACAGGAGATTGCCAGACATCAGAATGAATTAAATATAAAGCATATGGACTATTATGAAAAACTTTATTAAAGGGTAACCGTTGAGATTTTCCCAAACGACAGGGAATACAATCAGAAGCAGAACTAACAGTGCCAGAAATAGAATGATCAATTCGGAGTTGATCTAAAACACGAGTACCACAATGTCCTAATCTATTATGCCATAAGGAAACCGAAGCAGCGGATAAGGCAATGGGTGATGAGGCAGGCTGACGAACAGGGTAGAAACCATTATCACTGCGAGCGTGAAGCAGAACCGCCCCCGTTGTTAGATCCTTAACAGAAAAATAATTTTTGTCAAAAATAAGAGCGCAGTTGTTATCAGCACACAATTTTTGAATAGACAAAAGATTATATTTAATGTGAGGCACATGAAAAACAGATCTTAAGTGAAGAGGGCGAGCAGAGGAAGATAAAGTAGCCTGACCAGTATTCATAACAGGAAGAGATGTACCATTTGCAACTATGATAGAATGAGAATTAGGTGAAAAGGATTTATTAGATAAAATACCTGAATGTGGAGTCATATGTGCTGAGGCACCTGAGTCAGGATACCAAACGATGTCTGAATGCTCAGGAGCTTGAGCAGCAAGAGCAGGTGCAGCCGGCTGAACAAAGCGAGACGGACAAGTAGAAGCAGGATGACCTGGAGAATAACAAATCTGACAGACAACAGGAGGAGGGACTGAATTCCCTTTAACTGAAGAGGAGCCTGCATAACCACGATTAGTACAAGAAGCAGATAAAGCATACGTATAAAAATTTGACTGAACAGACATACCCGCTGAGCCTGGAGCCCCAAGAATGCCAGCATGTGGTGCACCCCCTGGAAAATATCCGGGGGGAGGATAGCCATAGCCGAAGCCATAACCTGCCGGGGGTGGGCCATAGCCACGACCCCGTTGTCCTCGACCGCCTCGGCCACCGCGGCCGCGCTGCCCGCGGCCTCCTCGACCACGCTGCCCTCTGCCACCAGGTTGATGCTGCTGCCCACCATGATGCTGCTGCTGCCCGCCATGGTGCTGCTGCTGCCCGCCAGGAGGAGGTGGTCCCGCGGTCTGAACTTGGCCAGCAAAGGCCTGAGCTGTAATGGAGTCTTCCATGGCACGCATATATTGAATGGTCTGCTCCTTTTCGATGAGATGAGTACGCAATTTCTCAAACGTGAAACGCTCAGGAAACAATTCAACCGAAGTAATAAGAGATTCATAGTCTCTTCCCAAGCCACGTAAAATAGTCTGAAAGAGTTCCTTGGTAGAGACCGGTGAATTGATGCAGGCTAACTTATCAACAATATTTTTAATATCCCGGAGATAGTGATCCATGGACTGAGTGGGACTCTTTCGAGAATGAGTCAACTGCCATTTCAGTTCCTTGCAACGAGCAAGACTAGCAGACATAAAATGGGATTCCAAACGACCCCAAATAGCAGAAGCATTCTTTAAATCACGAACCTCAATTAACACATCACGGGACAAAGTAGCAAACAACCAAGAGCGGACAGTTTGATCAAGTTTTAACCAATTACAATAATCTGGATTAATGACCTCACGCTGATTTGCATCAAAACTATAGGGAGGAGGAGCAGGAATTGAGCCATCTAAAATACCCAAAAAACCATTCGAAACCAGAAAAGACTCAAATTGAGTGCGCCAAGACAGGTAGTCTTTCACAGCATCCAATTTAGTAGTAACTATATTTGTAATATTAAGGGCAGAAAAACCAATAGTTTTAACTAAGGTGCTGTTCTGTTCGTCTTATTCTTATTACTTATTGCTTATTCTTATTTTATTCAGATCAGATCAGAAAGATTCAGATCAGATCAGATCAGATCAGAAAGATTCAGATCAGATCAGATCAGATCAGAAAGATTCAGATCAGATCAGAAAGATTCAGATCAGATCAGACCAGATCAGAAACATTCAGATCAGATCAGAAACATTCAGATCAGATCAGATCAGAAAAGTTCAAACATGATTTATCACTTTTATTATTATATTAATTATTATTATTATTAATATTGTTATTACTATTATGATTATTATTATTATATAATTATTATTAATATATTAATAATAATATGATAAAGAAATAAGATATTAATAATAGTTATAATATTTTAATATAATAATAGTAATATAAATGCAATTATTAAGAAGACTATTATTATTAATATTATTATTATTATTATCATTATCATCATTATTATTATTATTATTATTATTATTATTATTATTATTATTATTATTATTATTATTATTATTATTATTATTATTATTATTATTATTATTATTATTATTATTATTATTATTATTATTATTATTATTATTATTATTATTATTATTATTATTATTATTATTATTATTATTATTATTATTATTATTATTATTATTATTATTATTATTATTATTATTATTATTATTATTATTATTATTATTATTATTATTACAATATAATAATAATATGATTAATATTATTATAATATTATATTATAATTATATGTAATTATAATTATAATTACAATCATAATTCTAATAATTATAAGTATAATCAATTGTAATTATTATAATTATATCTATAATTAATTATAATTATAATTACCATCATAATTATAATTATGATTATAATTATAATTATAATATAATATTATAATAATATAATACTAATAATAATAATAATCGTATTATTATTAATATATTGTAATAATAATATTAATATAATAATATCGTTATGATAATATTAATTGTATTTATAGTACTATTATTATATTATAATATTATAATTAATGTTAATATAATTATAATTATTATTAATTATAATTATAATAATTATAATTATATTATTATATTATAATATCATAATGAATTTTAATATAATTTTAATTATTATTAATTATAATTATAATAATTATAATTATACTTATAATTATATTATAATTATAATTTATTATTATAATTATTACTTTTATTATAATAATAATTATTATTATTATTATTACTATTGTAATTATTTTACGGAGTAATTATAATAATATTGATAACTATAGTTACAATTATAGAGATAAATATTGTAATTATAATTACAATTATAATTATATAAGTAATTATAATTAAAAATATAATTACAGTTATAATTATATCTATATTTATAATTAGTGTAATAGGTATAAATTTTTTCATTTTAAATTTAATTTTATTATTATTATTATTATTATTATTATTATTATTATTATAGTTACGATTATAATTATAATTTTATTTAAATTATATTTGTAATTGCAATTATAATAATTATAATTATAATTATAATCATAATTATAATCATAGAAACATTCAAATCAGATCAGATCAGAAAGATTCAGATCAGATCACAAGGATTCAGATCAGATCAGAAACATTCAGATCAGATCAGACCAGATCAGAAACATTCAGATCAGATCAGAAAGATTCAGATCAGATCAGAAAGATTCAGATCAGATCAGATCAGAAAGATTCAGATCAGATCAGATCAGATCAGAAAAATTCAGATCAGATCAGATCAGAACTTAAAAAATTCAGATCAGAAACATTCAGATCAGGCGAAGAGAACAGCTTCTAAGTCAGACAATGTTAGCCCTGGCAGATATATATATAGGAAACAAGAGTAATAATTACAATGTGAGTCCCATACTAATAATAATTAAATAAATAACTAATCTACTCTATTAGGAGCGACTTTTTCCTTTCTGAAATCAAGTGGCAAGCACCAGCAATTTCTTTCTCTCCCTTAAGAAATAACGTAGCAGCAGCCAAGAGAGGATAACCAAGCTCCTAAACATCACTTTTCTTTCAATTGCTTCCAATAAAGTTTAGATTCCAAGTTATGGTTGTAAGTTTCAGTAAGTTTTACATTACTAGTTCGTACTTTTGGATGGAATTTTGAATTGTTTATCTCCAACTTATAATTTCAGTTTTCTTTTCCATTGAATAGTCATACTCCAGTTGTTTGCTAGCTCCGTATCATGTTTATAAATGTTATTGTGATGTTAATTTTAATAGAAATTGTCCAAAATGGGACTAAAACATGGGCTAAACTCCTAAATGGGACTTCAAGTTTTTTATTCCCTAAATAGGACTCCAGATTACCCTTTTACCCTTCCTCTTATTAAACTCAACTTCGCCTGCTCTGTTCTGTGTTATCTTCCGCGCCCAGCTCTTGCGATTTCTCCCATAGGCGCCATCAATAGCAGCTCTCCAGATCGAAGCTTCCCAGGCCATCGGCGAAATCAATAGTAGCTCTCCAAATCCAAGCTGCTGCAGGTTCCTCCAAAGATTACAGGTATCCTCTTCCTCTTCCTCTTCCTCTTTCTCTTCTTTTTCTTCTAATCCTGGCCTCTTCAAATTTCTGATCCTTTGTTCTCTTCTTCTTTGAATCTTTATGGTTTTTGAATTTTATATATTAATTTGGATTTTTTATTTGAATTATATTTATTCAGCAAAATGTCAATTTTATAATTTGAGAATGTCAAAATTATTGGTTATTTGAAAACACTGCCACATATGTGACAGTATATTTAGCAGAATGACAATATGAAAATGTCACATGTGCATAAGAAAATGTCATTCTTATGACTTTTTATGGCATTTTTTATGGGTTATCTAAGAATGTCATAACTACTTGTTATTAGAAATGACATGTTTTTTGACATGTTTTCCCAATGATGTCAAAATTATCATCCTTAAATTGCCATTATTTTTCATCTAAAAATTCATATTTTTTACAACTGAGAATGTCATGTCTTTATATGAAACTTCCAACATCATGGCATTTTCGGAAATAATATTGCTAAAAATGACAACATTTGGAAATCCATTCAAAAAACATGTCATTAAAATATTGACATCTTGATATCTTGATATAATATAATGACATAAAAATGACATTTTTCTAATAACAAGCATTTATGGCATTTTCATAAACAAATCTAATCAAAACTAAAAAAAAGTAATAAAAATCCAAATCCAAATATTTCTGATCATGACCGTTCGTCGAATTGTCGTTTTTATCTCAAGCTTTCATATCCAAAATAGTATTTTTGATTTATAATCTGAAATAGTAAATGAATTAACAATAAACAAATTTAAAAATGAAGAAATAAGGATCTGGAAGAAGAAGGAGAGAAGAGGAGGAAAAAGAACGAAGAAGAAGAAAGAGGAAGAAAGGAGAAAGGAAGAAGAAGGGAAAGAGGAAGAAGAGATTACCTGGTGCGCTCTTTCGGACCGGATTATGCAGCAATGTAATCGTCGATGGTACTCTGCTGGTTAAGTACTGCAGCGATAATCATTAAGGGTATTTTTGTCTAATTAGGTAATTTGTAGTCCTAGTTTTGCAAATTAAACATAGGAGTCCTAGTTTTGCATTTGTTCCAAGTTTTAGTCTTATTACGGCAATTCTCTCTAATTTTAATTATGGGTAGCTAATCCCATATAGTGTTTGAATTGGGGCTAGGGTTCATGGGTTCTTGAGGGTGTGAAATTTAGTTCTTTAAAATTCAATTTTTTTTTTTGGAAAATTGTACAAGATTAATATTAATTATCTATATGAATTTGATCACCTCACATATGAATACTTGGATTTAATTCAATTCTTGTCTATGAGAAATTGAGTTAAATTAGCTCAGATCTTATACAAGCAATCTGATCTTAGAAATAAGTTAGAATTGTGAAAATTTGATAAAATTCTTGTCTATGAGAATTTATTTCATTTTCTATCCAGGAATATTTGAAAATTAATTTACTAAATTTTAATCCTGAAAGAACACCTAGAACCCGAACCATCCAATTTGAACCCTGTTTTAATATCTAGAATCAATTTACTTAATTTTCTTTCTCTATTTATTTTTGCACTCGCTGTTAGTTAGTCTTTTTTTTAAACCACCCAAAAAGAATTTATTCGGAAAGATTATCATGACTTGTGCTAGCCTGTGATCACGGATCGTATTTAAAACTTCTTTTTTGCCACTCCTTGAGAGACGATACTCGTGGTCTGGTTATCCTTCTTATTAGCCAACTACGTTTTACTCACTAAAAAATACACCGATTAAATGGCGCCGTTGCCGGGGAGTGGCACAGTTGTGTGTTAAGTACTTTATGTGGAATAGGTAAAAGCAAGTCGGTGAGACTTTCTATATTTTTTCCCGTTATTTGTTTGTCGTTTTTGGTGTTCTTTGCGTGTGAACTAAGCTGCAGGAACCAGTGTATGCGCACTCGCTCCTCGGGGGAACAAGATCTAATTGCAGGGTATTCTAATCCTGAACGCTTATTCCGAGGAAGAGCTAAAAGGCGTTTACTAGAAGACTTGGAGAAAATTGCTAATCAGACAACTCTAGAGACGTTGACGCCTAATTATGTGGCGAGAAATAGCATTGGTGCACCCACCATTGAGGCCAACAATTTTGAAATCAAGACAACCATGATTCAGATGCTTGCTAATAATCCATTCTGTGGATACACTCATGAAGATCTGTTGGTCCCAAATTTCAGGATGAATGAACAGCTATGAACTATCTACAATAATATAGAGAAGGATTCTTAATAATGATCGAGAGATAATCTGAACAGAAGAAATCCTTACGCTATACTATCGAGAACTATAGAATGAATGTTCTGAATGAAAGGCGCTGTATATTTCTGATTCTCGATTATTCGGTCCTGTACCACATGTACGCATATTTATAGGCGTAGGTACAGGTACCGAAATGGTAACCTAGAGCTCTGGGCCTAAGGCCTTTTTGGGCCCTATTCCCTTAACTCATTTATTCTTTACATAAATACTAAAAAGGATAAGTCTAATCTAATTGGGATAACAAGACTCTAGACAAACTTGATCACAACAAATATTTTCCTCAACAATCTCCCCCTTTGTGATCAAGTGCCGTCTTGCTTCTTCTTCTCTTCACTGTTGAGCTTTATAATAATTCTTCCTGAGATTAAGCGCATGCTCATAGCTTCTGAGTGAATTTCTTTTTTCAAGTTGTTTCTGGATAGCCTGTAGAATGTTGTCAATTCTATGTGCCTCTTTCAATTCAGCGTCTGTGGCATCTGCATACTTCTGCTGCTTCTCTTTAAATGCTTCTCTGATAGGTTGCAGTTTCTCCTTCACAATCTTCAGTGTTCCATCGCAATATTTGTTTATCTCATCAATGAATAACAAACGCTTCTCACCATTATGATTTAGATAGATGAGCGTGATGGGACTGTCAAAAATGTAGTAGGCAGGAAAGTCCTCAAGTTCAGGTCCATACAGCTTTGGTCTTGTGAGGTTTGTCTTTGGAATGTTTGTTTCAAGAGCCATTTGAAGATCATGAGAGGCAAAGAATTTGATTTGTCTGATCATAAAGCGCTTGAGTGCATCCAGCCCATTTTGTGTAGTTTTGTCACGAATGCCTGGAATTTCCTGGAATGCAAGATACATCTGATAGATGTCATCCATTTTTAGCATGTAGAGATCATTTTCCTTGCATGTGAATTCTGTTCCGTCAGAGCGCTGTAGATGGTAGACAGAGAGTCTGATATCTTGAAGATCTGTTTCGGCCACGTTGAGAATAGCCCAGACTGGGTCCTTGGCAGTTTGAAGTTCATGTTGCCAGATTTCTCTCTGTTTTCCCATATAGTGATGACTAAGTAGAAACAGCTGTCCACCCTTGTTTTGTCCTCGTAGATGGTTGAGACCACGGATTTTTAGTTCGTCCAGTTCTCTGACCTTATCCTCTTTTCGCCAGATGTTTTCTCTGATTTCCTCTTGAAAGGGGGCGTTGATGTCGATCTTTCCCAGGGCTTCTCATTTCTGGGCATTTGAGCTGCCGTTTGTCTAATGATTGACTCAAGCTCCTTGGGTGGTGTCTCGTAGTTCTCTCCCTCCTTGAGTTCATCTTGATCAGGTAAAATCACATCAGTAGCACAGTTGACTAAGAGATCTCTGAGGTATGCTCTTCGCTGTGATTCATCTACATCTGTCCAGAGTTCAGACCATTTGTTGTGCACAAGCATTTCCTCAAGTTCATCGTGCATTTGATCATTGTAGTAGCTGGAGGGAGCCTGCTCTTGCTGTGGTGACATGTCTGGCGTAGCATCGGGATCCTGGTGAAACTTGCAGGGATCCTCAATTATCTCAACACGATGCTCTTGCGCAGAGACCAGACCTCTATACTTCGTTACATGCGGCCAATCCTTCCTCGGCTGAGACTGGGTGACTCCGGGATCCTCAGGATTGCCCGTTGACATCAGTTTCGAACTAGGTTCTAGCTGATGGCCTGAGTAGGAAGATGTACTCGTGGTAGCATCATCAGGACTTCCATTCCGTCCTTGGTCAACATCTATAGGAGATGCACCTCGGGATGTTATGTCTAGCTCGACCATGCTAGAAAGAGTGGCTAGGGATTTATGGCTAGCTGAAGTAGTGGGTTGCTCATTGGTGGAGGTGGAGGGTTGGTTTGGTTTTGAGGGTTGGCTAGTAGAAGCAACATGCTCAAGTATCCGCTGGCGCTTGTTCTCCCCCTCATGAGAATCCGAATCATCAGGATCCTCATGTGAACGTTTAGTGCCACGGAGACTTTCACGGCATGTGTTCTGTGTATCTAGAGCATGGAGAAGGGCTTTTTGAAGAGGGGTAAGGTTGCCTTCTTCCACGTCTAGTATACGGTCAAAGACCTCAGCTACAAGGTCCTCGAAGGGTATGGTTTTGAGATTGGGTTTGGTCGTTGTAGGGGAGGATACTAGTTCTGTATCCTGGGTTCCCCTTGAAGTGGATGGTTGTTGGTTTCCTAGGGTTAAAGGTTGGGAAATTGGGATTAGAGTAGTTGGGGGCTGTATGGTTTGGGGCTTGGGTGGTATATCCTGAACAACTGGGGTACTTCCAGAGTCTTGTGCATTAGCGGTTATTGCTTCATGCACCCATGGTTTAATGGTAGACTCTAGAAAGCTGTTCAGATATACGAGAATGTCTTCGGGAATAATGGTTCCAGTTACAGGAGTTGTAACTGTTGTCACAACATCAGTGAAGATAGCTGATGTGTGGCTTGCGTTCAATGATCGAGGCATTGTTGGCGTAGCAGGGCTTCTGACCATCATAGTTTGCACTCCGGTCGTTGCATTCAGGGTGAGTGCACCTGTATGTGCAGTGAATAGTGTAGGTGTCCTAGAAAAATGTGAAAATGTAGGGATGGTGACACCTAGACTCGATGTGATAGAACGAATGGGGGTAGTGGTCCGGGGCTGTTGACCACTAAGTCTCTCAGCAGATTCGGAAGGAATCAGTGAGGTCGGTGTAAGTTCCCCTTGAGTTATTGAAACTCCAGTCTGTTGGGAGACTGGAGAGTGGATGGGAGATGGCTGTGCATGCGCAGTTGAACCGGATGCTGCGACTTCTACCCAGGAACTGACAAGGTCAGCTCCTGCTCCTAGGGGCGTGGTTCGGTCTATAGTGACGAAGGTGTCGCAGTCATCATACAGTGCCAGCTCCTCCTCCACTGCACTCTTCTTTCTCAGCCTCTTCTTAGGCTTGGATGATGCAGACTTATCACTTTTCTGCTTGGAGCGCTGCTCACTAATAATGATCCCTTTGAGTGGTCGGGGCGTGAGTGCAGCCTCAATATCTTCCGATGAGGAGTCGGAGTTGATTGAAATGGCCTGTTTGCCAGCTCTTCTTCTGTTACTAAGCAAAACTCCCTCCATGTCATCATCATCATCTGCATCATCATCACTTTGCTCATTTCCCTTGGCCATGCTATCGGAGGCCTCACCACCAGCCTTATTAGAAGGGGCCTGGCTTGATGGTTCATCGGCAGTGTCCTCAGCATTAGGGCGGCCCTCAGCAGTCTGGGTCCTCTCGGAAGAGTTAGCAGACTGATCATCATTAGGCCGGGTTGCCACTGGTTTCTGTGGCGGGGCTCTCTTCTTCTTACCCTCACTTGGCTTGGTCCCCTGGGTAGGTCCAGCTGGGTTTTGCTGAACCATAGGAACCGTTCTCTTCAATGACTCTTTGTAGTCGATGACTGCCTTATCCCTCGGGTTTGCTAGATCAAGCAGGGAGTCCGGAATAGGCAGTGCTTCAGCCTTATTGCTGTCCCTCTGGAAGTATTTGAGCTTTGGGGCGGTGAAATGATTATCTCCCTTACGCTTTGGAATAGTAGGGGTGGCCTCCATCATGCTGTGGATCATCAGTGCCAACCACCTAGCGTAAGGGATTGTGCTACCCTTGTTGTTCTCCTTTATCTTCACCTGGTCCATCAGCTCTGTCCAGAAGAGCTGGGCCATGTCGTACTGCTTATCAAATGCGATTCCGTGGAAGATTTGAAGGATTTGCTTGTTGCACTTGTCATGTCCGGCGTGCTTCGGAGAAAGACACTTGTTGACCAGGCCGAACAGACTCTTCCACGGATGAGGCAGGTTGGAGATTGTGAAATTTGACAGTAGGGGCAGTGGGCTGTCGTAACCAAGAGCTTTCATCCCCTTTATCAGCTCTTCGTTTGAGGGGAGTGGTGCGTAGCTTTGGTGCATTGGGAGCTTCAGAGTCTCCCGGATTGTGGAAGGTGTTAGCACCACTCTCTTGTCAGCTAGTTTGGTCATGATCTTTGACCGATCCTTCTTACTCTCAGTTCGCATGCAGCCCCTGAATTGCTGCAGGTATACCTCTGGCACAGGTTTGGCCTCATTGAATGCAAACCAGAGGTAGTACTTTTGTAGAATGGAGAGAATGACCGGGTCCTGACATTTGAAGAGTTTCAGGTCTAGTTGAAAATTGTTGTCATAGATTGGGACCCAGTTCTCCTTGGAGTAGACATCATCACTTGATTGTGCATTCCGGTCTGTTCCTGACATTGTTGAGCTGAAAGAATTGGGTCAGCACATTGTTCAATTGATTTTTTTTTTTTTTTGGAATTTTTCAGATCAGGTGTGAATAGGTGAATTTCTCGAAAAAAAATTTTCTAAGTACAAACCACGAGAACCAGCTTCTCGAGGTTTGAGTATCGAGAAGTAGGTTCTCGAGTCTTAAATATCGAGAAGCTCTTCTCGATACTCGGATATCGAGAACTTGGTTCTCGATATGAAAGTATCGAAAAGTCCTTCTCGTGATTTAAACATCGAGAACCATCTTTTCGAGGTTTAGTGTCGAGAACCTCTTCTCGGTACTTCCAACTTCGAGAAGTAGGTTTTCGGTATTAAACATCGAAAAGTATCTTTTCGAGGTTTAACATCGAGAACCGTTCCTCGAAATCCAAAGTCTCGAGAAGTTGATCTCGAGTTCTAAACATCGAGAAAATAGATTTCTCGAGTTCGTACTCAGAAGAAATGTCGAGTACCACCTGCAATTTTAACACAACATAATGATTATATCCAAGTTAAAAAAAAACTTTTCGAATTCAAGTTTCCGAGTTCGAGAAAACATAGTTCTCGATATGTCAATACGGGAAATTTTTCCAAATTTTGCATCGAGAACTTTGCCATAGTGTGCGAAAACCATTTTGAAAACCTTTTCTTTCAGAATTACTACCTTTGATTGTGAAATCGAGAGTTCGAGAGATATGAGAATGCCAGAAAACTTGAGGACTTCGAGAACTTGGATGCGAGAAAGATGAGTTATGCGAAA